CCGTTACCTGACGAGCCACCACAAGTTGAGAAAGCCTCAACTCCGGTGCCATCACCGCTTGAGCCACAACCTCAGTCACCAGAGTCGCCAGAACATGAGCAGCCACAGCAGCCTGACTCTGATGGTCTTATGGGTGGTATCGAAGAGCCAATGAAGTTGCGTATAATAAGCATGGATACTGCTCGTACGGCTGATACTGCTGCTGCTGTTACTGATTCTTCTTCTATTGCGCCTATGCCTTCATCTCAAACACCATCTTGTGGCGTAGCTGATGCTGAGCTTTTCGCTTCGGTTGCTTCTTCTTCAAACTTTGCTTCTTCCTATCGTAATAATTAGTTGAAACTAGATTTGGTGATAGGGTTAGCCTCCGCTAATATCGGGATTCTATAAAGAAAAATGCATTAAGTCGATGTTATTTTAACCTCCTGAGTGGCTCGCCTTGTCTGAGAAAGGTGCAACTCATGAGCAGTTATTTGTGTTGTGTAAACGTAAAAGTGTTCGTTGCTCGTATCGCCCTCGTATCAAAGGTTTAAAGATTTTGAAAAGTTGCTCTAGTCTCTCCAAGAAGATGCTAAGAGGAGATGGTGCATTGATGATAATGCTTTACCCTATTGCTTCATAGCTTCGCGATCCGATTAGCTTGGATTTGATTACTGTTGTTGATGTTAATGTGGTTGCTGCATGCTGGTTTTTTCTTTATTGTTACCAGTCAACCTTCTCAAATCGCTCGCTATAAATAGTTTCCAGAAACTTTTTTTGACTATTCCTGCTTTGGGTCAACTTAATGTCATATGATCTGGTTATGGTGCATCAATAATGAAGTATTCATGACGCTTTGATATGAACTAATTTTTGCTATTTCAGGAGGATTATCACATCGAACATGATACCGCCGCCACTGATGTGACACAGAGTTCGGTGAGGAATTCGTTCGCATTTTGTTTTGTTTTCAGATCTCAGGAAAATAGGTTCGAGACACTCGACAGATTGGCAGTTTAATTCGTAGTTTCTTAACCAGATTTCACCAAATTCCTGAGCTGTTAAAGCAAGATGTTTGGAGCAGGTGATTAGAAGAAG